CCATCGAAGAGCCCACCATCGCGTTCTTCGCTGTACGGATGCCTGTCACGTGCTATCTATGCATAAAGCTCAGAAGACATACCCGAAGTCACCGAATATCATGTGCATGTTGGCCTCGTCAAGCTCCCGCATTCGTCGCGCTGCCTCCTCTTGGCTAAGTTCGATAGCGAGTGCGATATCTTTCTCCTCCTGCGCACGAGCCTGCTCCTCGGACTGCGTACGCCTGCTGGCTTCGATTGCGCGTTTCAGCAGCTCGTCTTCCTCGGACGTAGACGATCCCGGCGTCTGAGGCGTGGCGCTCTGCGGTCGTGGAGGCGGAGGGAGCGCAGTACTAGTGGGTGGCGCATATGATAAAGATGGTTCCTTCGGATACGAGCGCGGGGGAGGTCCCGGAGGTGCCGAGTATCGTGGTTGTGCCGGAGGTGGTAGATGGAGTGGTTGCGCAGGAGGCGTGTAGTGAGGTGTATGCGGCCTATCATATGGAATAGGCGGCGGTAGCGTGGACGGTGCTGCTTGGGGTGGCGGGTGATGGTGACCGTAGTACTGGTGAGCCGAGGGGAGGGGAGGCTGTTGATAGTACGGAGGAGGAGCAGTCATCGTCTTACGTGTCGCTAGAGTTAGTGCTGGAAGAGCCTTGGGAAGAGCTGCTTTAAGAGCTGGGCAGTCAATACCCATATTTATAAGCGTTAGTGTGTAATAGGATGTCAGGGAAGACGGGTACAGCCACGTTCATCATCATTACCCCGCAGCCCATGTTCGCCGACCAACTACGATCGCGCGTCTTACAAAAGATCAATCTGAGGTGGCGCAGTACGCCAGCCCACACGCGGTGTTGAGGTAAAAAATGTAGCTTGAGAAAGGCGCCTAGTGCGCGCGCAGACCTTGTAAGACAGAGGGAGTCATCTGCTCGACCTCACCTTCAGAGCTATCGTCGCTGTCCGAACTCCTTTCCGCTGCCGCCCTAGCAGCTGCCTCGAGCTCCTCTAGATCCCATCCGATCATGGCTTTCTCCATCCGCGTGTTACGCACCGCCTCAGCCAAAGTTTTCAGAGAGTCATCGCTACGAAAGGTAAGCGTACCCATTGGTCAAAAAATAAGACAAGAACATACTTTGCATGGCTCTGAATCCAGCTGCAGAAATCGTCTAGCCAGATGCGGGAGTACACGTAGTAGACCTCATGTGCGTCGAGAAGCGCACGCACTTCAAGGAGACAACGCAGAACTGCGCGTGTACCCCGGATGAGGAAACTTGCTACATCCGAACGACATGATTCGGAGAGGGCCCACGAGCGATACAGGGGGTAGGCAAGTGAGCGCCGATATGAAGCGGCAAGGGTTGATGCAATATCGTATGAGGACGACTGATGTGACTGAGATGGAAGCAGCCTTGCGACAGGCACTGCGTTGGATGGCAGCATGTACGGAGGAGAATCAAGTGCGGAGAACGCAGGAATAAGAACACAGATCGTCCAAGCACTCTCTGGAGTCGGGTCGTGCTGGGTGAAGCGTGCATCATATGCATACGCGAACAAAATAGTAAGAAGAGTGAGGTAAGCACTGCGTGTCTGTGAAGGCGTGGGCAGATCTAGCCAAGGATTCGTGAGAGAAGGACTGAAGAGCTCGGTAAACCCACACTGACATTCTTTTCGAGGAAGTTGTAGCATAGTCAAATTTTCGGCCTCACTAAAGGGCAGCACGTCCAATGAACGAAGACTCGGATGCTTCCACCATAACAGCTCATCTATCACGTCGTGGTCGACGTAGTCAGCCCTAGTATGCATCAAAAGCAGCGCTCAAATCGTTGTAACCACGAGCTTACATGTAATGCTCTGCGTCCCACTTCGCGTCTTCCTGCTCAAGACGCCGACGTCTCCTCTCACCGGGCGATACGTTTTCAGCTTCAGAACCCAGTTCGTTGACCTCGTTTTCCGTATTTGCGACATGCACAAAGTACCCAGTGTAAGCGTCGAAGAAGCCATAGGGTTTCGGTAGGAGCGTATGTGGTTTTGGAGCCATTTCCGGAACCGTTTGCGGAATTTGCCAGTCATTCTGGGCAGCTGAAGAAAGAGTCAAGCTATGTCAGAGACGGAAGGTATGATCAACCTTCGAGTATTTCGTGCCATTCCTGCGTTGCTTGACCAGAGTCCAGAGACAAGCCCTCTGTTTTGGTGACGATTTCTTCTTCCGCTGTCTCAGGAATTTCCTCAGACGACAAGATTTCTACAAGTGGTCCTCTTGGTGCGCTGTTTTCGAGACGCCGTGGCGCGAGAAGTTTTGCCAAGAGATCAAGGTCAGGAAACTCCAGACCTGGTACCACTTTGTTCAAAGTGATGGTAAGATAGCCGGTCGTCGGGTCATATACCGCCGATGATGCATCGTCCTCAACTACGTTCCCAGGAAAATTAAGCCGCAGAAAGTACGGAGCGATGTGAACGGAGAGTAAAGTGTCGTCGACATGGATCTCGATTTCTGATGCCTGAAATGCGAGAGTTGAGAGTAAGTACAAGACGGTCACCAAACTTACCCGGACTGAAGGGCAATAGATGGAAGTCACGACGCACGCGTCGGTCTGACTGCAGGAGAAGCGAGGCGTGATCATTTCTATGCTGTGCTCAGTGCGGCTGGGCCGTGGTCTTTGATCATCTTCCTACTGGTCTGGATGAAACGAAGAACAATCCCCGGCTGTGTAAGGGCCGGTAAGGTGGAAGAGGTGAAGCAGGTAAGCGCTGGTGAACGTCGTGTACAAGCAGGGAAACCAGTGGTCCGAACGAAGGAAATGGGCGGCCCGATCTTTCCGGAGAGTCGGCCAGGTTTATACAGGGAACGCGTTAGAGCGTCTTCAGTCACTCTCGCCGCACGCCCACCCATCGCTCTCTATGGACGTGAGTCGGACGAATTCTTTGCATGTAATAAAATTAATCGCGACGTCAGAAGCTACCTGTGCATCCACCCCTCGACGTAGTCGAGCGCCTCATCGTGCACGAGAAGAAGGGCAACTGTGTCCCAATCTTCGTCCAGCTCCCTGCCGACCTCATCACGCCTGTCATTGCATACCTCCGCATAGCGCAAAATTCAAAATACAGTTTTTTGCTCGAGTCGGTCATTGCAGGGGAGAATGTCGCGCGGTACAGCTTCATTGGTGTAGGTACGTCGTCATCCGACAGGGCATCGTTCCTACACTCTTACATCCCTATGCTCCGGGGCAGAGGCAGCTTTGATTCCCTCTATGTCCAGTCAGGATTGTTCCCGGCTGCATTCCAGCCAGCCCTGTGCCGCTACACTTCTTGAGACCTTGCCTGCAGGACTACTGGTGTCAAGCTTGTGACTCGTAGCTAACATGGTTTTCAGACCCCTTTAAGGTGCTCAGAATTGGCCAAGGAGAGGCGCTTACAGGAGACCCCATGGCTGTCCTTCAGCGCGAGCTCGGCGTCTACAAATACATCAAAATCCCGGAAATACCAACATTCACCGGCGGCGCTATCGGTTTTGTTGGCTACGACGCGATCCAGCATTTCGAGCCCAGGACCGCGCGCCAGCTGAAGGATACCCTCAACATTCCCGAGGCAGTTTTCATGCTTGCCGACACTCTCCTTGTCTACGACCATCTATTCCAGAACGTGAAGGTTGTCTCGCATGTTTGGTGCCCCGACAGCACCGGAACGAACAATCTTGCATTCATCTATCAAACCGCCGTCTCGAAAGCGCGTCGTCTAGCTCGTGTTGTCACGGCTTCCTCCATACCTGAAGTCCCGCAACCTCCGATTGCTTTGGGGCTGGAGAGTACATCCAACGTTGGCAAAGAGGGGTATGAGCGCTTCGTAACCACCCTCAAGAAGCATATCGTCGCCGGTGACATCATCCAGGCTGTTCCTTCGCAGCGCTTAGCTCGACCCACGAATCTGCATCCCTTCAATGCCTATCGGCGCTTGCGCCAGGTGAATCCAAGCCCATACATGTTCTATCTTGATTGTGGGGACCTTCAGCTCGTCGGCGCTAGTCCTGAGACACTCTGCAAGGTCGAGAACAATAAAGTTTTTAACCATGCAATTGCGGGCACAACGAAGCGTGGCGAAACTCCAGAAGGTATTCGAGTTTATCTGATGCATCGGCCGGGCACTCTTTAATGAGCTATCAGAGGATGAAAAGCTCGGCCAGGAGCTGCTCGCGTCGGAGAAGGATAAAGCCGAGCACATCATGCTCGTTGATCTCGCCCGCAACGACGTCAATCGTGTCTGCGATCCTAGGACCGTCAAGGTCGACCACCTCATGCGGCTTGAAAAGTTCAGTCACGTCATCCACCTCACTTCTCAAGTGTCTGGTATTCTGCGCCCAGGGCTGACGAGGTACTAGTCGTGGCCTTCTCTTTTCTTTCCCGCTGACTTCCTACACACAGATTTGATGCGTTCCGCTCCATCTTCCCTGCAGGGACGGTGTCTGGTGCTCCTAAGATCAAGGCGATCGAGCTCGTCTATGAGCTTGAACAGGAGCGTCGTGGAGTGTACGCCGGCGCCGTTGGCCGTTTCGACTTCGCGGAAGACGCGATGGACACTTGCATTGCAATTCGCACGATGTTGTTCAAAGAGGGCATTGCGTACCTTCAGGCGGGAGGCGGGATTGTCTTTGACTCAGTCGAGGAAGATGAATATAACGAGACAATACGAAAGCTCATGGGTAATGCGCGTGCCCTTGAAGGGGCTGAACGTGGGTGTACCAGTGATCTCTTGTTGGCTATGATCTGACGAGCATGACAGAGTACTGGCATGATATGCAGCTTGGACGACCTCGACGTGCATAAAATGCGAATGTTCTGACTGTATATAGCTGCCATCACTAGGAATATCCTTATTGAAATCGTGTATCAAAGAGCTGCGTCATATCAGCATCTCCTGCCTGGGAAAGAGTAATGTAATAACGAGGCGATAACTCGATACAATATGTGCGGATGTAGGTCGGGCTTTCGGAGTCAGAAGTGATGGTAGTGATGCAGCCATAGCTCTGTAGGCGCTATAGCCAAGTGGTTACGGCGACAGATTAGAACTTTATTTGGATCTATCTGTTGGGGTTTCCCCGCGCAGGTTCGAATCCTGCTGGCGTCGGAGTCTTATTTTTCGCAATTCAGCTGTGTGCTGTTAGGGTGCCTTGCACGTCTAATAGCCTGAGTGTGACGGTACTATAACGAACTTGGCCGTGCTTGTCCTCCCGTTTTCCTTCAGTTAGAATCAGATCGCCTTTTCTTGAAATAAAGAACGTTATCGCAGGTGCTACCTCAAGCAGAGGCAAACAAATGATGATATGTGTAGGGCATGCCTCCCGATCTCGGTGGTTGAGGATGGTGTAGTGAAACGATGAGCCCGGTCTGCCAGTGTTGATAACTATATTGAACACTTCGGCTCAAACTGGGCAGGTGGGTGGATTAGGTACATTATTGACTGTTAATACAGTAGCAGTACATCAGGGGAAGTGGAGGTTAACGATGCGGCATCATACCCAAGCTGATAGATTTGCACCTACTCGAGCGCACCGCCATGGCCAGAGACCGGATGCTCCTTTCGTTTTTCCTGTTAGCACACATCAAGATGCTATCGTACACTACGGGATCATGCTACGAAAATTGTAGTGAAGAGCGATGTACGAGCAACCGGGTCCCTAGAGGCGGGTGGCTTTCTGATAGGCATGGTGGGATCAATTGCATGTGTGCCGATATAAGGTGCTATCGAGTATGCGATTTCAGAGCTCAATTAAGTCTACAAACAACACCCGTAGATACTTCTTAGTCCAGCTTCACCTTGCTCGCCGGCGAGATGAAGGTCGCCTGCAGGCCAGCTTATCAGAGAAAAAGGAGTAGGGAAAAGACTGATGGACGTACGGATATGAACTTCAAAAGCTCATCAATAACAAGAACTGGTGCGCTTAGATACAGCACAGCTGTCCACTCGGCTACATTTAACGGCGTGATGGCGAACAGCGACTGCAGACGAGTCAGCTTTCCAGACGAAGGAGGAACGAGGAATAGCACGCACAGTGAAGAACGGCACGTAGAGGATCATGAAGTGCAGCGCCATGCTAAGCGTGATTGCCCCGACAAGGTACATGTTCTTCCACACTGGGAGCCGGAGCAGCGACTCGTTCTCTGAGAGTGAGTTCATTGCATTGAACATCTCGACCGTGACAAGGATCGAGAGCGACATCGTCGTCGCGCGCTTTGCCATCTCGTCCGTGAACATCTGGCAACCAATTTCGGGGAACAGCGCCGAGCATTGGTGGAAGTGCGTCTGTTAATACGCAAATAAGTTGGGTTGAGAACAGAATCAATGAAGAGGTACGTACGAGCTGGTAGAAAGAGATTTGCGGCCCGCCAGAATAAAACATGAACCACCATGCGTAACCTGCGACGGTTGCAACACCAACGTACACGCCGACGACCATGTAACGGAAGAAAAGCCATCCTGATACTAACGGCTCGCGGCTGTTTCGTGGCGGTACGCGCATGATGGAGTGATCAGGAGGATTGAAGCCAAGTGCGGTAGCGGGAAGGGAGTCTGTGACGAGGTTGACCCAAAGCAACTGAACGGGAATCAGAGCCTCGGGCATGCCGAGAAGCACGGTCAGGAAGATGCTGACGACCTCCCCAATGTTTGAGGATACTGAATATTGTCAGCTGAATATCATCACGTAGAAGGAGAACGGTGATGACGTACTAAGGTATCGAATAAACTGCTTGGTGTTGTTATAGATGAGCCTGCCTTCCTCTACAGCATTCTCTATTGTTGCGAAGTTGGAGTCCGCGAGAACCATGTCGGCCGCAAGCTTGGCGACATCCGTGCCGCTGCCCATGGCTACGCCAATGTCGGCCTTTTTCAAAGCCGGTGCATCATTGACACCGTCTCCAGTCTAGACAAGCGTCAGCTCGTCAACGCGAGCGAGATCGTGTCTCTACGTACCATAGCGACAACCAACCCAAGGCTCTGCAGCAGGTCGACAAGCTGGCTCTTGTGACCGGGCTCCGTACGACTGAATAGACTCGCGCGTCGTACAGCCTCGAGCTTCTGCGCCTGGCTGAGAGACTCGAATTCGCGACCCGTGTAGCTCTTGCCCGTCAGATCCTCGTCCCCGTCAAAGATACCGACCCGCCTGCAAATTGTCTCCGCTGTGCCTTTGTTGTCTCCCGTAATGCAGATGACGCGGATACCGGCCGCCTTGCAGTTTGCAACAGCGTTACGCGCCTCCGGTCGTGGCGGATCCAGCATGCCGACGAGCCCGACGAAAGTGAGATCCTTCTCGAAGCGCGCGTAGTCCGCCGTGCTCGATGACTTATAGTGCGCTGCATCCGTGTCTGTGACGTCTACGAACGCGAGGGCGAGGGTACGCAGGCCCTCGGCACCATATGCGGCCGTCTGGGCGAGTAGGGACGAGCGGAGCGACGGGGACAACAATACATGTTGGCCGCCAGGAACAAGAACAGTCGTACAGCGGTCAAGGACAGACTCAGGCGCGCCCTTGACGAAGAGCGATCCAATGCCATTCAGTTGAACGAGGACAGACATCATCTTGCGGTCGCGGGAGAACTCGAAAGTCAGGAGACGGGGGATCTGATGCTCGTAATAGTCGCACACGGCGCTGGCGCGGCGGGCAGGATCCATTGTGGCCAAAGCGTCAACCAGTTCTTTGTTTGGACATCCAATTATCTCCGCGAGAACCCTAAGGGCAGCCTCCGTGGGCTCGCCAACGTTCGTGTACATGTTCTTCTCCTATAGGGAGTCAATATCAGTGGGATACCTAGGCAGGTCGATGCGTACTCACCGGGTGGTAGATGATCTTGGCGTCATTGCAGATGGCACTAACCTCCGCCAGGCGTTGTAACGGTTCTGACCGAAGATCAACAGCGGCGTCCTTCCCACCAGCGGACGTGACCGACCCGAGAGGAGCGAAAGTGCTACCCTCAACGTAGAACTCCTTCGTGGCATTCCCGGTCGCATCGATCGTGACGAACTGACCCTCTGTCAGACTGGTGGTGATCGAGGGATAACACACGAACACCGCACCTTGGACACGGACATCTGGTTGGTGGTCAGAGTGCCGGTCTTGTCTGAACAGATGACGTTCGTGCTACCGAGGGTCTCGACACTCGGCAGGTTGCGCACAATCGCGTTTTTCTGGGCCATCTTTTGTGTCCCGAGAGCGAGGCAGGCAGTGATGACAGCAGCCAGGCCTTCAGGGATCGCCGCTACGGCAAGTGCCACAGCGATCTTAAAGTAGTAGACAGCGCCCTTGAGCGCGCCGTGGTGGGCAGGGTCCCAGAAGTGACGAATGTTGATAAGCCAGACAAGAACGCAGATGACGGTGATGACCTTGGCGAGCATGTCACCAAAGTCGTCGAGCTTGCGCTTCAAAGGCGTCTTCTCGCTGATTTGAGAAGAAATGGACTTGTGAATATCACCAATGGCAGTCTTCTCGCCTGTGAAAACGACAATCGCCTGGGCACTACCGTTCACGACCGTTGTTCCCTAGAAGCATGTGAGCGGGAAAGGGCGTAAAACGCGGGCACGTGGTCACGGACCGAGAAGAGCATGTTCGTCATGTCCTGCTTGACCGCGCGCGGATCTAATACGATGTCCGTAGACTTATGCACGCTTGCACTTTCCCCAGTAAGGATAGCTTGGTCGATGCGGAAGCTGCTCGAGGACACTGAGAGCAAACGGCAATCTGCCGGGATCTTGTCGCCAACCGAGATGGAAATGATATCGCCTGGGACGAGTTCTGACGCGTGCGCACGCGTAAGTTTGCCGTTGCGGAGTACCTTGGCTTCGTCTGGAGAGTATTCTTTGAGAGCCTATGACAATGTCAGAGCCAGGCTCTGCAAGATGCGAGGCCACGCACGTCGATCGCTCTTTCCGCATTCGTCTCTTGGATGACACCGACCGTCGCATTCGCAACAAGAATGAGCATAATAACCGCAGGCTCAACAAAAGCGCCCAGAAGCGTTGAGCCCTCCGAGTCATCAAACAATGCAAGCACAAATGAGATTACGGCAGACGCGAGCAGTATTAGTACGAGCTGATCCTTGAATTGCTCAAGAACAAGCTCCCATAGCGGTGTAGGCGGATCCTCGGGGAGTTCTGTACGCACGCAATGTTAGGCAATGCAACATGTAGCTGGCGGAGGCTCATGCACTGACCATTTTTGCCGTACAACTCCGTGTGCTTCGAGACCTGATCCGAAGCGAGGCCCTTTGCGGGGTCGACGCCGTAGAGCTGCAGGAGTTGGTCTTGCGTTGAGGTCCACGGTGCTTCCATAGTCGCAATCATGCCTACCGAGGCTCGAAAGGACGATGACGGCGGGAGTGTCGTGGCGGTTTCGGCGAACGAACGGGAACACGGGTTTCGGGAGGCCCGTTCTTCATAAATCCAAGCACGTGCAAGAGCTGACGTGGCACGAAGCCTAGGGGCTCTCGGACCGACGAGTGACCTGGGACACCGAGAGCGACAGGACGTCCGGATGAGCGGGCGGCGATGGGAATAGCCGCACGATTGTCGAGGACGCCATGGGTACGAGGCCGCATACGAGACGCGAACCGGCTTGTGCTGTCTCCCGCTTCTCAGACTCAATATTCTCAGCCGCAGTCCGAGAATGACGCTATCACCCATGTCGCTGACGTGTCCAAGCCTCTTTCGCCAGCCCAGCAAAGCTTACCCACGCCGAACGCCCTCTCGACCCTGTCCGCCTGGGATCTTTCTCGAGGATACAGAGGGCTATCATGCTCACATACTGCCGGGCTTGTATCGCACAATGTAGACTTCGACCCGGCCGCTTTTCGTGCGCAAGTTGCCCCCTCGCATCCTCGCTTCGCCTTACTCAGCTCCAAGCTTTCAATATCCAGGATTTCACAGCGTCCTGGCCTGTGCGACTGATCACCGATCATCTACCGCCCGTCCCGTTTCCGCTGAAATGAGACCCGCGTAGACCTGGGGCCGTCAAATGACACTCCCATGCCCTTCACACTAGCACTTCTGTCACGTCTGTATCACGTATCTCCTTGCAGCCCGCCGGGCTACCGCTTAGGTGGCTAGCTCGATGCTGGCAGGGTCGCCGTTCTGAT